GGGGGCGCTGCACCAAGAACTACTGAAAGAAACGACACAAAAACCTCTGAAGACACGCCTTCTTCTTCTTCTGTAAATGAAAACAAACACGAAGTGGCATCAAGTTTTAGCAGTTTTAGGAGTTATATTTTGTCATTTTTCAAAAATGGACTTAGCATGAGCAGAAGATGAGACAGAAGACCATGGAGAATATTGTTTTTCCATACAAGGCAGCTGACGGCTCCATATAAGGTAAGAGCAATGCGTGTTTGTTTGTCCTGCGGAGTGGGGCTCGGTCTGTTTACATTCACACTGCACTTGAACCGCACTGGAGTTCGCTACTACCGGACCGAGACCTAGGTTTTAGCCCGGGCCAGAGTTTGCCTTTTTGTTCCGTGACAGAGTTCGATGGTTCGTTCACACCTCCCTAAACAAACCGGACTTTCTAGGAAAACGAGCTAGAGTTCGATTAAAGTGGAATAAACAGGGCTAGTGTGAATGCACCCTTAGTTAAAGTTTTGTTCTGTTGACCTCTTTTATGGGCCAGGACTTGCAGTAATTTGAGTTTTTGTAAATAAATTTCAAAAAAATTTTGGTGAATCTCTTCTGTCTCTCCTGCTGGTATATGTGGGAGCTTCAGAGAAAATTACATTTAATTTCTAAACATGCCATTCCAGTGGCTTTCAAACCCCAAAATGCACTATGGCAAAGAATAGTTCATCCCAAAGATCCAGTCCCCCAGCACAAACAGTGTATTATTGTGTATGCTGTTCAGTGCCAGGAGGGCTACTTTATTACTGAATAAAAAGACTCCCAATCTCTAGACATGAGCCAATTCTGCGATCACAGAGATATTTATTTCTATGTCCTTACTCGAATTTATAAAACCTGCCAAAAACATAAACAGTTTGACAAGTCTTTTGAGCAACATAGAAAGATAGACCACCACAACCACACATTATTAATCCCAGGGGGAATCTCAGGGTTAGTTTACTTATAAAGCAATTACCCCTCAAATAATTAAAACATTTTGTCGAACCAATTAAAATGCATACCCATGCTCATGTAAACATGCCGGCATACCTTGTACATGTGGGTGAGTCATCAAGTAGAGAAATGCAGTTAGCAGGGTGTTGGAGGTGGTGTCAGTCCCAGCAAAGTGAAGGTCCAGACAATACATGATCATCTGATCCTCAGAAAATGAAGTACTATCACCTTTCTGCAAACAGAACAATAGTTGGTAGGTAAATTCAAAATTGGGGTTATTTTAGGCATTCATAAAACAAAATATCCAACTCATTCAGGAGCTCGATACTTTATTTATTTTTATTTTATACTTTTTGAAATTGCAGAAAATGCAGTGTGGAAGTAGTGGTGCCAAGGTTAGCGAAGGTGGGCCTTAGTCATTGGAAGATCGCCAGCTCAACTCCCAATACTGACAACATCAAAATGTGGGTGGAATAGGTGAAGCACCCACACCTGCCCCCACCCTCATTTGCCCCACTCTGGCCCTTTGAGCAAGGCCCTTAACACCCACCATCTGCTCCTCCGGGCACCCTAGATAGCAGCTCTCTGTTCCACACAAAGGGGAGCAGCCGAAAGAAGAAGAAAAAACTTTTTGAAATATTAAACATTATTTGCAATTTATTTCTACCATAAAAATCAGTTTAGATTTCTTCAATACCTTCAAAGATTTGATCCCTTTTTAAAAAAAAATATCCTGCTTCAGCTACTCATCTGTTTTTATTTTAACTTTGTCTTATGTCTTCTTTTAGCTGTTTGGCTTCTTTTCTCTTGTAGTTACCATGCTTATTTTAGCTTTTACCTAGTCTTTAGCTACTTTAAAGCTTTAACTAGTGTTTTGCTGATTTAAGCTAACCGTTGGCTAAGTTTAGCTAGCCTTTTGTCATTAATCTGTCACCAAGTAATTCATAATTAATTAACAATTTAATAATTATTAATTATTAAAAATAGTTAATGATTTAAATTAGTATTTTTATTTTCACCACCCTCGGTTTTTGAAAAATTTTAAGAGTTAAGAGTTTTCTTGCATTTAGCTAGCCTTTTGCTATTATTAGCCATATAGTGTTCTGCTTCATTTAGTTTTAAAATTAGCATATCCATCTCTTCTTCAGTCTGATGAACATTAATTACTCGTTAACATTTCCTTTACCCACCTTATCCAGTTCATCCAGGTAACAGTCAACAAAGTGTCGAGGCTCTCCAGGAACCCTGGTCTTCTTGAACTCTTCCACCAAACGGCTGATAAGATTCTGACAAATCTAAATTTGAAATATGATAAATTGTTTATTCCACTCATACAGTCTTTACTAATTTATATGATTCATGTTGTGAGAAAGAATCTTTCTTTGAGTCTGATGGTTCTGGCTGTCCTACTAAAATAGAAGTATGGACAGCCATGGAACTATCCATGTTAATGAGGCAAGATTTTGTGACAGCATCTTTAAAAGTGCTATATTGTGACCTTGTTATGCATTTTATTGGAATCATAGGACAACACACACAAGTTGTTGCAAGGTGGAGACCATGAATGGCTCATATGAGTGAACAGTCTCCATTCTAGCTTATTTCTATTCAATCTTTTGTCATCTCCATAAAATTTGAATTATTGTTTTTTTAATAAGAGTACATTCAGGCATCACATTCTAATGTTTCTGAATGCTATTAAATAAATTCACAGATTTTCTGTAAGCTCCACATTTGAAAATAGGAGCAAGTGAAATTGTAACACTCATGCTCCAAAGAACGGTGCAACATGCAGCGATTTGACTGAGCCAGAAATCATAAAAACCCTCTTTGGGAAAGAGTTCCTGTTTTAAAGGCACATCAATCTGCTTAGGAGGCTGCAACAGAGTGTTAAAGGAGACTAAAGCTGTGTAAATGGGCTGACAATGCTTCAAACTAACACTTTTATTTTGTTAGTCTTCATTCTTAGATTATTAAAATGGGTTATTTACAGTATGTCTGCAGTAGCACAAAGAGACTGCTGTGTTTTTGATTTGACTGAACAATGATTCTACAGAAACGTCTCAGGATGGCTGGATGACCATCTTTCTGCACAGAGAAACAGAAACTCCACTGAAGAACTGGACTGTCCTGGATCTTAAGTACCCAGAAGGCAGGAATCAGCCACTCAGGCCATCTCTTCTACTGTAGAAGTTTTTGTTGTAAATAAATTGTACATAAAAGCACTGATGTGGACTTGGTCAAGAATGTAAAACTGAACTTTTTCATAGATCAAGACTCAATCAAAAGAAATTAACTAAAGAAATAAAGAACAATGTGTTTATATGAAACAATTGAGGGCAAATATTTTTACCTCTACGTTTTTAAAAGCCTTCTTGAATGGCAATGGCAGGTTTCGAATCAGAGGAATAGAGTCATAGAGCTGTAAAGAAAAAATAAATATTGATTTAAATATTTCCAAGTATACTGCATTTTGATTCTGCATAAACCATTAAAATCATTTAAGTATTTAGTTTGCATCCAATATTTCATTAGGATGTAAACAACAAAAATTCTCATCCTGAACACATTCTTCAGCTGCTCAGAGTTTTAGTGTTGCTTTACAAGCCTTTCCTGTTGTACAATTTTTTGTAAAACTGAAATTTGACAAAGCTTAATAATTAAAATACAATACTTCAGATAACACAAAGTTTGTTTTCTCAGTCATCCAGGTATATAACAACAAAAAAGGTTGAATCATGTCATCTGGACTTCGTTTTTTTTTTTGCAAGGGTGAGGGGCTTTTCAGAATAAAACTTTGGGCCAGATATTTATATTTTGTTGTGTCAAAAGTATTAGTAACCTTTGAAGCCACCAGCGTGAAGTTTTGAGAACAATAAACAGCAAAGCCCTTATTAAACAATGATTCTTGGTCACATTAGTTTTTTAAACAACACATTTGTCATAGCTCTGCTCTCTGTCAGCTCCTCTGTCATGCTGCACACTCAGTAATCACTCAACTCATGTCACCTGTCACCGCTCATTATCCCACAGCTCCACCACCTGGTCCAGTCAGTACTTAAGCTCACTCATTCCTCTCAGTCTGGGCCAGATTCTCTATCCTGTCTCATCAGCAGTAGACTTTCCAGCATTCCATTGATTGACTCATCACGTTCATGACCCTTGCCTTGACCACGACCACGCTTTTGCCTCAGCCCTCGTCTGCTTTTGCTCATCTGATCAGGTACCGACTCATGCTCTTGTTTTTTGACTCTCTTTTTGGATCACGTACTGGATACTTCTTCACGTACTGGCGTTCCAGCGGGCAGAAGAGGAAGCGCTGCTCCCGGCTTAAGAGGAGAGGATGCCGGGCGGGGGTTATGGTGAGGCTACGAGCTAACGCTAAAGCCGGTAAACTCCCCATGCCGTCTCTCTTTCTGTCGAATGTCCGCTCGTTGGACAACAAGGTGGATTTACTTCGTCTGAGAGCGGGCGCCTCAGAAGAGATGAAGAAGTGTGCAGTGCTTTGCCTCACAGAAACGTGGATTACAAGTGAAACGCCGGACTCAGTCTTCCAGCTGGATGACAGACTTTTTTTTCGAGCGGACCGCTGCAGCGAGCTAACGGGGAAATCACGGGGGGGCGGAGTGTGCATTTACGTGAGTAAAAGTTGGTCCACGAACTGTACTGTTGTAAAAAGCTCATGCTCGAAGGCTTTGGAGCAAATAACAGTGAAATGTCGGCCACATTATCTACCCCGAGAGTTCACAGTGACTTTTATCACAGTTGTTTACATTCCTCCGGACGCTAATGCTAATGAATCACTACAGGAGCTTCATGATATCATCAGCTCGCTGCAGAACAAACACCCCGAGGCTCTTTATGTGGTAGCCGGAGACTTTAACCACGTGAATCTAAAGGACTGTCTCCCGAGCTTTAATCAGCATGTGACGATTCCAACACGTGGAGACCGCACGCTGGACCGTGTTTACACGAACATAAAAGATGCATACAAAGCCGAACCCCGCCCCCACCTAGGACTGTCAGACCACATCTCAATCTTCCTGGCTCCTGCTTACATGCCCCCGCTGAGACGCTCCAGACCGGTTCAAAAGAAAGTTAAATGTTGGATCCAGGACAGTGGCCCCATACTGAGAGATTGTTTTGATCGAACAGACTGGCAGGTTTTCAGAGAAGCTGCTGAAAATGGAGGTTCGCTTGATCTTGACCAATACACATCCTCAGTACTGGGTTACATTAGTACATGTACTGACACAGTCTCCACTATCAGAAATGTTAAAAGCTACCCAAACAGAAAACCTTGGCTGAATGCAGAGGTGCGTACCCTGCTGGAAGCCAGGAACACTGCCTTCAGGTCTGGAAACTCAGAGGAGCTGAGTAGGACAAGAAAAGAGCTGGTTGCTGGTATTAAGAGGGCCAAGGCCACATATGCAAAGAGGATCGAGGGTCAATTCATCTCACAAGACCCTCGGAGCATGTGGAGGGGCATTAAGTGCATAACGGATTATAAAGGAAGGAGTGAACAATGTCCCAAAGACCCATCTCTGCCTGATGCCCTCAACAAGTTCTATGCACGCTTTGAAGACCCGAACAGACCACCCAGCACCAGACTCACCTCACCACCGGATGAAGAGCATCTCAGCGTGACCTCAGCAGAAGTAAGGAGTACCTTCAGGAGGATTAATCCGCACAAAGCAACTGGCCCAGACAACATCCCCGGAAAAGTGTTGAAGGAATGTGCTGATCAGCTCTGTGAGGTGCTGGCAGACATCTTTAACACCTCACTTACCCTGGAGACAGTTCCCACCTGCCTGAAGACTGCCACCATCATCCCAGTCCCAAAAAGCTCTACAGTGACTGGTCTGAATGACTATCGGCCAGTGGCCCTCACCCCGATAGTCGCTAAATGCTTCGAAAAACTGGTCATGACTCACATCAAAACAACCATCAACATCAACGAGGACCCTGATCAGTACGCATACCGTGAGAACCGATCAACAGAGGATGCAATCTCCTCTGTGGTCCACACTGCACTCAACCACCTGGAGCAGAAAAACTCTTACGTCCGTATGCTCTTTGTGGACTTCACATCCGCCTTCAACACCATGATCCCCCAAACCCTGATGGACAAACTATCCACACTAGGACTAAGCCCCTCCATCTGCAACTGGGTACTAGACTTTTTAACAAACAGACCACAGTTAGTGAGGATCCACAACCTCTCCTCCTCCACCATAACCCTCAGCACTGGCTCTCCTCAGGGATGTGTGTTGAGCCCCCTCCTGTTTACTCTGCTCACATATGATTGTGCAGCTACCCATCCAGGCTGTCACATTGTAAAGTTTGCAGATGATACAGCGGTGGTGGGATGCATCACAAACAATGATGAGTCCAGCTACAGGCAGGAGGTGGAACACCTGGAGAGCTGGTGCAGAGAGAATAACCTTCACATCAATGTGAAGAAGACAAAGGAGATGATTGTGGACTTCAGAAGGAACAAAAACACCTACACCCCCCTGAACATAAGAGGATCTGCGGTGGAAGTGGTCTCCAGCTACAAGTACTTGGGTGTACACATGAATGACAACCTCAGCTGGAGCAACAACACCACCAGCCTGATCAAGAAAGCTCATCAGAGACTCTACTTCCTCAGACGGCTGAGGCGAGCTGGTCTGGGAAGCTCAGTCCTCACCTCCTTCTACAGGTGTGCAGTGGAGAGCATCCTGTGCTCGAGCATCAATGTGTGGCATGGAGGCTGCACAGCTGCAGAAAGAAAAGCTTTGCAGAGAGTGGTGAAGGCTGCACAGAAATCTGTTGGAGTCAGTCTCCCCACCATCACAGACATCTACACCTCCAGATGCAGGAAGAGGGCCACCTGCATCATGAAGGACCCCACCCACCCAGCACACACACTTTTTGCCCCACTCCCCTCAGGAAGGAGGTT